TTGACAGGGTTGGTCAAAGAATTGGGATTGAAACAGGAAATCTTAGAGTTGTATTGTGATAGTCAAAATGTTATTCACTTAGCAAAGAATCAAGTTTATCATGTCAAGACGAAACACATCGACGTGAGGTATCACACTATCAGAGAATGGTTGGAAGATGACAAGATAAATTTGATGAAAGTACACACGGAGAATAATGAAACAGATATATTGAAAAAGCCAATAACTACACAGAAGTTCAAGCATTGCTTGGGCTTGATCAATCTTTCACACTGTTAAAGATTGACGAGGCATTCCAATGCATGGGGATGGGCATTTCAAGTTGAGATGCAGGCCTGAAATTTCAGATGAAGGTTATGGAATATTCGCCAATGTGGAGATTTGTTGGCACTGGCTCAAATTTTGATTGGTTTGGTGATATCATTTGCTAAAAAAAACTTATTTTGATTGGTTAGCTGACATAATTACTAAAAGTTTATTGGATAATACAAGTGGAACAATTTCATTGCTTGAATGAGATGAGAGTTCATTTCTTATTGGTTAGATGATGTCATTGCTAAAATCTTATTGGAGGATACAAGTGGAGCAATCAAATGTATTGTTTAAATGTAAAGAAGTTCATCTGCCACCACCTTGGGGTGCCTATAAATAGGCATGGGTCTCTTGGTTTTGAAATCATCCCAAAAATTGTATTTGTTCAATTTCCATTCTCTTGTTGAGAGTACGAAAGATTTTCTTTACCGGAAGTTTGAGAGGGTAAGGTTAAATGGGTTGTACAAGGGGTTAAGAGCTCGGGTTTGAGATTTAAACCTGAGTGGTGAGACTTGTACCATTGTACCTATTTTCTCTCAATAGTAAAGAAAAGAGACCGGATCACATTTCGTAGACGTAGACAAAACAATTTTGCCGAACCATGTAAATCTTGGTGTTGTGAGTTGTGTTTTGATTTTCTTTATTCAACTTATTTATTTATTTGTCGTTGTATTGACCAAATTGTTGTGAAGTTAATTTCCAACATTACTCTTCCACAAATGTTGGACTTAAACCATGGCCAACATTGCCTTCATATTCACACTTACCACCAAGACTACGAGCCACATAACAAAAGAACACTATGATTCTAAGTGTATAAAACACACGCTCTGAATGCATATAGAAAAAAAAAAAAGAATATCTCTCAAAAAGGTATATTATTCATTGAATAATCTGTATTGTATAAATGATAAAATATAAAAATGGACAAAACCTTAATTGTCCTCATAATTAGGGATGACAGTGGACGGGTTTGGACGAATACCTATTTTTACCCAGTTCCGTTTGGATTGGGAATAGACTATACGTATTGGACGGTAGACGTATACGGGGATACCCGTATAAACTCGTGCGGAGATGGACTGAAGTTTACCCCCGCCCCGCCCTGTTTACCTGTTATTATATATATATATATATATATATATATATATATATATATATATATATATATATATATATATACATGTTGTTGTGAATACAAATCTATATATTATTGAATGATTTTTTCTTTTGAAAATTGTTTTATTTTTTAATTTTTTTTAATGATTTTGGTTTGTAAAAGTGTAGATCTTTGTGTTTTAATAATTTTTTCATGTTGGATTATGTTATGTTACATTATTTTGTATTACATGATATTGTGTTAGATTTATAAGGGAGACAAACTTTTAATTATAGTATGTTGGATTATATTGTAGTCAAGGTTTTAATTATATTATGTTGTAAATGATAAATTTTTAATTATATTATGATATTCTATAATTATGTTGCATTATTTAGTATTTTGAATTATATTGTCTTGGAGTTGGGCTTGGGCGGGTAAGGTGGACGGGGGTGGGGGCGGAGGTTAAGGCGGGGGTGGGGATTACAAATTTACCCGTAGAGGGAGATGAAGATTAAAATTATACCCGTTAACGGGGGTGGATCATGGATGGACGAAATTTTTTTAAGCGAGTATAGAGATGGAGATTACATCCCCCTCCCCCACTTCAGCCTACTGCCATTCCTACTCATAATAGAGATAAAATTCCTAATTATACAAAAATTATTAAAAATTTAAAATTATAATCTAAACTAATTAATATAAAAACACGTGTCAATTGGAGTTTAGCAAAACTAACGACATTGAATTCGCAATCTTCTATGATTTTTATTAATTTTTGATTTTTTTCCTAAAACGACAACAACGGAGTTTTAAGGGCCTAAACAACGGAGTTTGACCCAAAACTGAAGGAGCTCATGACAAAGTGATGAATCTTGATTGTTGGCCCGATCCGAATCAAACATCACTGATCTCAATCAATTCTGAATCCGAGTCATTTTACCTCTACTATTATCTTTTTTTTTTTCGTTGGACTTTGAATGCAGGACAATCTTCTTACTCAAAATAATTAGATGCCACTTGTTGTACATCATCACGAGCTCAAATTATGAGAATAGTCTTTTGCTATATTGGGTAAGATTGTGCGTCTCAACTCTCCTAAACCCGTTGGGGAAACAAATTGTGCACTGAACTGCCTTTTTTTAATTAACTATTAGTAACGAACTTTATTCCATGCAGTTGCATTCAGGAATCTTGGAGCAGCCTAACATATCTTTATCCTTACCTTGAAATTTGGGTTATATATACTTGGTTTTTTTGGAGAGGAGGGGTATTGAATCCATGGAAATGGCGTGGGGTTTATTCCCAAGCGAACAAAGATATATTAAGGTGAGAACAGATTTTTACGCAACGATAAAATTAATTCATTATAATATGAAGGTCACGGATTCGAGTTACGAAAATAATTTCTATTCTTGCAAAGATAAGACTGCATATATCTAATCTTACTCAGACTCCATAATGACAGGAGTCTTTAAAATGGATCAGGATAAAAAATCATACTTCATGAATTCTTACACAGGATGTAATGCTTAACTTGTGTAACACTTAAATTAAGCTATGCACTTATTGTTCAAGAAGGGGAAAAAAAAAAAAAAAGCTATGCACTTGAGCGTAACTTTGGATTTATTGTTTTCATTAACGAGTAGTCATTCTAATCAAGAATCAAAACATCGTTTCATCTCATTGTTTTGCTCATTTAAAAAACGAAAATGTTTCAAAAAGATTTCTGAAATTTTTAAGAAATATAATGAAAATAGATAAAAAATAAAAATTTAGAAATTTATTTTTAAAATATTTTAAAATATTGGTCTAAATATATCAAAACATCTTAAAATATCTCGAAACATTCTAAAACATTGGTGGAATTATACTGAAACATCTTGAAATAACTCAAAATATTTCAAAATACTTTGAAAAACTTCAAAGCACGGAAATTTCGATTCGATTAATAATTTGTTTCTCTTTAGAAACGAAAACTTTTTAGTCGTTTCAAAATAATATTTTAATCTTAAATTTCTAACTTTGTGTCTTATTGAAATTATCATCGTAACATAATTGCAGGGACTATATGCAATCACTTAAGAATTACGAATATTAGTCAAATATGGATTTTATTTGAATTTAGGGACTTACTTCAGGACGTGCATTATTACTTCTTATTTTGTGTGTGTGTGAGAGAGAGAGAGACCAAGGATCAGTCATCAAGAGCATAAAGGGTAGATATTGTTTTACAAAAAACACAAGAATATATTATAACAATTACAATGGAAGCATCTTCATCACAATCATTGTCCATTTCATCTGGTGATGGACAGCCTCATTTGATACCTGAAAGACCATTTACTATTTACTTATAATTCTTTCAGGTGCCTCTTTTACCTTGAGAAAGCATGAGTTTTATTAATTTTATCCCAGCTCTTTTGACCTGATCCATCCATTATTTCAAGGAATCAAAAAATACTTGGGTGGAAGATCCATTGACTATCAGTGCTTTAGCTGAAACCTATTTCAGAAATCTTCTTTCTTTGGAGAAACACTATACTGATGAAGCCATTTTTCTCCCATTAGCCTTGTAATTTGTAAATCCTTTACTCTTTTTCTTTCTCTCTTCTAAACTTGCCCTATCCTATCCCGGTGGGAACTCTGATGGAAGTCTAATTAATGCTCTTTCCGATTATCAGGGCTGTTAAAACCGACTGCAATAGTAACTCCTCAGAACCTAACCTCCAGAATTCCACCATTCGGGTGTCGTTTCTAGTGCAAGAGGTCAAGCATTCTGCCAGACGTGTTCGCCATGAATGACGTGGCTTGTCAAAACTCCATTGGATTTGTGTGCAAATTACGCGATTTATGTGCTCAAGGCCAAATCAGTGTAATTAGGTCATCATAGTTTTCTATACCGGTTGACATCAATGTGCCACTAGTCTCTTGCATTTAAAAATATGTGATTAGCAATCTCATGGTAGAAATAAAATATCATTGTCACGCCATTCTGTGTAGGAATTCTTGTCAAAAATTGTGTTGGTTTGACATATATTTTCTTTGACAAGAATAATAGTATCTCGAAAAGTAAATTTTACTGAATTAAAGCAAATGTAAATGTGTACAAAGGAAGAGTTATGTAGCAACAAGTATTGGCAAGAGCAACAAAAATCAACAAATATTTAGGAGCTTCTCTTTTAGGCGTAGCTCGGACAGATTTGGCAAGAGTGTTGTAGCTAGGCACATGAAGTCGGACTGCGGAAAACAAGAAAATTGCTAAATTATTTCTGGGCTGATACATGGATCAGGTAATAATAATATCACCAATATGATGATATAGGCTATTGCTAGCTCCTACAATTTGAATACATGTCTATTACCGGGCCCCTACTACATTCAAATGGGTGAGGGTTTTTTTTTTTGTTTTTTTTTTTGGTGAAACCTCGACGGTGCGAGGATTTTATTGATTAAAAAATTAAATTACATCTACCTAGGCAGGATCGTATGGACCTTATCCCTAGATAAAATCTAATTACATAGAATAAAATGAAAAAAGTAATTCATGCAGGATATAAGAAATAAAAGAACAGAATTATAAAACATGCTACTTCTTTAATGCCTCAGCACATAATAGGACCGCTTCAGCTGACCATTCGCGGAGAAGCCTAGTGAAAATACCCTCTGACCATAGCAGAAAAAGTTTCTGCATTATCGAAGGACTCCCAACCTCTGAACAAACCATAGACACCAAGCTTCTAAACAATAAGAAGTCCAGACGCCATGTAGATCCATAGTAGAGAAGAGCCAAGTGAAACCAGAGATCCAGAGAGGATACTAATAATCGAAGAATTTCCTGATGATAGTCAGAGATCCAGAAGAAGAAGAAACTTTCTTTCTGAAGACTCTTAGCTGAATAGAATCCTGAAGCATGAGTAGCTTTGTAGAAATTGGGTGGAGATCTGCAAATGGGTGAGGTTGAATCATACCTATCATTTTTTTTTTTTATTCCTTTGGTGAAAAGGGCAATTACAAAAAAGTAAATAAATAAAGGAATGACATTGTTTATGTAAAAGCTAAACTTGCATTTATTTTCTATTTTCTATCATACGTGAAGGTATATTTGCATTTAGAGTTTCTATTCTCCCTTTTTTATTGTGATAATGATAGTGCTATTCATATTGTTCACAACTATGTCTTTTATGAGTGCACAAAACACATCAAAATCGATTGTCTTTTTGTGCGTCATCACCTATAGGGCGGTACTCTTCATCTTTTTCCGGTTATTTCAGCTGATCAATTGATTGATATCTTCATGAAGGCTCATTAACTTGGCCGCTACAGTGATTTAGTTTGCTAATTCCAGTTGACATTTTCAATGTCTTCTTGAGTTTGAGGGGGATATTACTGTTTATATGTTTATCTTTGTCCGACATCGGTTAGATTAGGATATTGTCCGAAATCCGTTAGACTAGGATATTTTATTATTCTCTTATATTATAAATACACTTTCTTATTATCTGAAAAAATACACCAAAATAATATATAGTTGATATTCTCTTTCTATTCTCTTATTTGATCAGTCACCACAAAACCCGTAGCACATCAATGAATATCCATCAGATTTTGTTAAAAGGAAATCTAGAAAAGGGATCCAAATGTGATACCGAGAAGAATCTTCTATTTTGGTCCAATACAAACTCGACGCATATGAATTTTTTTTATTTTATCATTTAATTTACTGTTCTTTTTTATGTTTACGATCTAGGGTTGCAAGCAAATTAAGGAAAAATTTATACTTGAGACTAGGTAGGGCACGTAGATCAGAGGATTAGAGAACGTGACTACGAGCCACGGTGTTAGGGGTTTGAATCCTCCCTCACCCACAACCTGCCCAAAAGAGAGAGGGACATTTCCCTATGGGGTGTAGGAAAATCATGATCGGGATAAAAATCATAGTGGGACAAAAGTTATGGAACATGGATGTGGGTTTTTTGTCGAAATAGAATCACCATTGACGAGCCTAGAATCAAATCAAGTTTGGGCCTACTTCATGGATTGAGCTCAAACCATCAAAAAGTAAATCAAACTCAACTTATGGCCTCAGCCCAGTCTAAAGTTCAAGAGATCCAAGACGATCAACACACATGGGGAACAATCATTGAGATAGCTACTGCTCGAAGATCATGCTTATCTTTAATTGTACTTATCCTTAATTTTTCTCCCCGGGAGACTAGTACCACCTCAACTAAAGCTTTGTGCCTATAAATTATAAATCCCCTTACACATGGAGGCAAATCTCTCACACACCTCACCTTAAACGTACTTTTGCGTTGTCTCTCTCTCCCCCCTACTACTGTCTCATTAATAAAGTTCTCCAGTTATGGCTACCGCCTTTAGTGGTTAGGTCACCTAGGCCTAACTACCCAATTTTTATTTTTTACTATTAATTGCTTCATTAATTGTTTTACCTCACACTCGATTAATTTGATTGTGCATAAGTTCACTTTTGTGCATTATCAATCTTTTTATTTAACATTTTCATTATGATACCATAAAATCCTCTCTGGTTATCCCCAAAAAATAAGCCTGCCATTGTTCCCATTCCCAAACTAACATGAAGACATGATCGATCGGGTTCCATACCATGGGCTTTGGATCGATTAAGTATCTATCAGAATCTGTTATATCAAAAGGTTCATACGAACCTTAAAAGATATGAGCAAATGAGATTGGCAAACACCAATTAATCATTATTTAGTAGTACAAAACACACAAAGGTAAAGATTGTTGAAAGGGGGTGAGTGAATATTAATCTTGGACCGCATTGATGAAAGATATCTAGCAAGGTATCTGCTTAGTGAACCACTCCATCACATAAACAGGAGCCTTCATCAACCCCAGGGCCACGTTTAATAGGCCAGTCACACACAAGCAGCAAGGGCATATGCAACTCAGCATCATCCTGCAATGCAAAACCATCTTCGATTGTAAAGCGCAGCGACAAATTTTATTATCAAAGATAAAAATTACAAAGAGTTCTCCAAAACCGAATGAATAAAACAGGTTCGTAACAGAAACGACCCAAATATATGTATCCATATAACCCTAATATCCTTATTTCCTGGGCATAAATTGAAGCGGGATACATTATGTGAACAACAGTTATATAAGAGAGAAAAAAAAGGCCAACCCAAAAATCCAGATTATGGCGCCAATGGCAGAGAGGAGGCTGGACAAAAAGGCAAAGGGCAGGCTCAACATAAAGGCCAATGGCTGGCCTTTAAATTCCACAGAAACGCAAGTAAAGCTAGGGCTGCAACAGACCTGATCACACTGGATGCACATAGCTGCTTTTCTTCTTCTTCCTCTTCTTCACTTTCACAGTTGTGTAGACCGAGCCTAGCTAGGGCACTCCCACAAATGATATATAGATTGATGGTATTTATAGGAAAAGGCTAAGGCACCACCGAGGTACCACGTTGAAATTTGATTTGAGCCGTTGTTTTTAATTTTAAATAATTTTCAACTATTAATCAAAAGAGTGATAAAATAAAAATACTTGACCTATTTTCAGTTGAATAAAAAATGATATTTTAGTATTAAAATCCGCATATATTTTTAATGTTGTGGGCCAAAAACAACCTTTGCATCATATTCCCTCTTGCACAATTAACGTATATGATGCTTTCTTTTCAAGACACGCATCACCTATATTTGTCAAATACTTTTTAAAGTGTTTCTCTTTCTCTTTTAGGAAGGTCTTTTTTGTTTCTTTTAAATTTCGTCCTCAGTAACCTTCTTCTTTTGTTTGGCTTTTGCTGCTTTCTCCCTAGGTTAATCATATGTATAATAGTAGCCCAAGGTTAATCATATGTATAGTAGTACACATGTATAGATAAGTAGGTGTTTTATTTACATATCAAGATATGTAGATCACTACTATTGTAACGTGTTTTACATTTTATTTTTTTCTTTTTTCTTTTCTTTTTTTTTGCTTATTTAAAAGTACTTAACAAAGATTATCAAAAGGTAAAAACATTATTTACCAGTACTATTTTTTTTACAAAAAAAAACTTATAAATGATGTCATGCTGTTACATCCAAAAATTATGTCATGCAGTGACATTAGGGAACTTTGGAACAACCTGGCCATCTTTATGCTTATCTTAGAGATAAGATTTGGCTTAGCTTGTCCAAGACTCTCTCTCTCTCTCTCTCTCTCGCGTAGGAATCGAATCCATCTCAATCACATTTGCATAAATATGGACTTTGCTCCATGCGTCTGTTATTCTTGATTCCCTTTGGCCATTACCATCCCTCAACTTTAGAGCAGGCGTTCCAAAATCACGTAAGTGTCTATTATATCAAAAAACGGAGAATTACGCCTAGGTCTCTTAAAATTTGTCATTTAATCACTCAAATCTCTGATATGTGAAATATTACACATAGACTCCCTAAAGTTTATATGCGTGTAACACTTAGACACTTACCGTCAAATATCAATTAGTATATATGTTAGTAAATTATATCTAGACCCCCTGAAATTTATAAGCATATAATACTTAAACCCCTTAAATTTAAAATACTCAAATCAAATATTAAATATTTTAAATTTTACAACAAAAATTCATATTCTATTCTATCATTTATTGAATAAAATTAAAAATACAAAGCTAATTTTTTCTTAAAAATTTGTAATTAGTTTACAATTATACTATCTATTAAAATAAAAATAAAAAATCAAACAAGGAGTCTAAGTCATTCATAATAGAATATGAATTTTTACAATCAAAATTCATGTTCTATAATATCGTTTATTAAAATAAAATCAACAATAAAAATCTAATTTTTTTTCTAAAAAATCATAATTATTATACAATTATATTATTTATTGAAATAAAACAAAAAAATAAATAAGAGATCAAACGGACACAATATATTCTAAATATAACATTTTAATTTGAGGGGCCCACACTTCAAAATTTTCACAATTAGTCGGCCTACAATTGGATTTGGTTGGATGCGATTGGACTTCAAATATCAATCCAGCCCAATCGTAATTATCTAGCCGGACATGTCCTAAGACCATTTGATGTTGGTAGGCTGTCTATAGCGAGTTATTTACGGGTCTGGTTACTTATTCCAAAAAATGGGCCTGAAATTTAATATATTCCATAGTTTACCTGTTCAAGCTAATTCCAATATCCTTAAAAATAGAGTTTTAGTTTGTCTCAAAATTCATTACCTGGGTCAAAATTCGGCCCAATAGCCCCGCCCTAAAAAATCAATTAAAACTCAGCCCAAAACCCCGCCTATCCAGTCCAGCCCACTCAGTCTTCCTTTGAAAAAAATTATATTGTTAGACTATTGAATTTGAAACTTTAAAATAAGTTCTCCAATGTCGGAATTGAAGTTATAAAAATTTTGATACTATAAATAATATATTATTTTCTTTTCCATGTAGTAAGCAATCACGTTTTAAAATGTAGAGTTGTGTAAATGATAGATAAGTGGGTAGGTGTCAACCTAATTGGAATTTGGTCCTTTTATTGTGATGCAATTCCTTCCCTATTCATAAATAAAATTTTTCATTATTTACTTTTTATTTATTTGACTCTACTTTTAATTCAAAAATATAATTTATAAAAATATTAAGTTATAAAAATATTCATTATTTTTAAATGAAGTTATATATAAAAAAAACTTGCTAGTAAGCTCATAGGCTCGCATATTAGACTGCGGGTAGTCGATCCCTACTTGAAACCCAGATCGGTCTGCCCAATATCTCACCTAAGGAAGAGCTTAGGTCTATACTATTCAAGCCTAACTCAAAAAAAATTCTGCTGGCCTAGCTTGACCCAGCCCGTGAACACCCCTAATTGTTGGAACCAAAGTTAGATAGTAAGATTGAAAGAGAAGGAATGACTTTTTATTTTATTGTGTAAAGGCATTTTATACTGGAAGTTTATAAAACTTTTAAAGGTTTTATATATATACAATTGTACTTTTAAAAGACTTAACATTGATTAAAGTGGCAATAGTGAGCAGTGTTGTAGGGCATTATTCGCGCGCTTGTAAAGAGTACGATCAAAATTGTGTGGTGAATGATCAATTTTTTATTTTGCTCCTGTACACACAGAATCACACTTATTGCTTGCTAATTTATGGATAGTCATGACTATTAATATTACCAGTTAGTTAATAAAATATTTTTTTTAAAATTAAATTAATTTAAATTCTAAGAGTTGTGTTTTTTTGTTGGTCGACTATTCTTGGTACTTTTACATAGTCATTGTCCATATTTATATAAGTTCAAGAGTTACTGACATAACACTTCTATTAGACTATGTCACTATCACATAATTGGATCACTAAATTAGGTTGATTTGAAGTCAAATTGATTAGCATAGTGTTGTTTCTTTCTTCTTTCTTCTTTTTAAGTATATAGTGGTGGTTTGTTTGTCTATAGTCCATAGTTGATCCGAAGGATTCAAATCTTGGACTTTATGGATTATAGTAAGTGATAAGAAATCCATTCCAAAAACCAAAGCCTCAAGGGGTCAATGTTCAATAACGTAACCTGTGTTACTTACCTTCAGTCATAATATGGTTAAATTGAATGGATCCCACTTGACTAATCCCTAGGGTTAATTAGAAGCAAAAAGAACCCCCCCCAAAAAAAAAAATAGACAACCAAGTGGTTCGGTATCCAGTCCAACACAGACGAGGGTGAACACCGATTACATCTTCATCTTCTCCGGTTAAAAATTGTAGATGAGTTTTTTCATTATCCATCGTTTTATATTTATCTTACGAAAAATATTTGAGTACTTAAGTGTTTTTTCATTATCCATCGTTTTTTTCTTTTGGTTTATAGCTTAATTTTTTTATTTTTTTTAAACATTTTTTTATTTTGGGAGAGAAGGGAAGGGGGAAAGAGGAGTTAAACCCTTGACTTCAATAAGACAAAACCTTTACAAGATAAGGGGTACTATTGGACCAAAGACTCTCCGGTATTTATAGATTAATCATGAGTTAGTGAAGTGGAGCCCAATACCTAATTTAAGATATAAATAAGATTTAATCTTTATTTTTCTTCTATGCAAACTAGATCAAACATTAAAATATTACAACAACACACAAAGGTAGAAATTGTTAAGGGGGGATCAATGAATAATCTTGGAATGTATTGATGAATAAGATCTAATTAACAAGGTATCTTCTCAGTGAACCACTTCATGACAGAAAAGGGGGCCTTGATCAATGCCAGAGCCAGCTCAACTATGACAGTAACACACAAGCAACATGGGCATATGCAAGTCAACGCTAGCCTGCATCACAAAACCCTTCTCTTATCAGCTCAACAGAAAAACATAACATCGATCACTTATATTACATCGATCAACAAGTTGATAGAAAGGTTTACGGCTCAATATGCTTAGTATGATCGTAAAATGAGAGAATCAGTCCTATCATTCTGAAATCAACTCCAGTTTTTTCAATAACTCTTTGAGATTATAACTTGACACAAATCGAGTTATAACTAATCCTATTTCTATGCAGCGATTTCGGCACCGCCCCTTTTTCCAACTTTCTATAGATATGTACATCCTCAAGCTATATGAAGAACACATAATTGTCATTGCAGATCTGTAAACTAGAGAGAGAGAGAGAGAACCGAACCCGACAATCCAGATGACAACGCCGACAAGGGAGAGGAGGAGAGCGACAAAGGCAAACGGAAGGCCTAAAAGAAAGCCCAAGGGGCGGCACTCACAATCCTCACCGCAGCAACAAGACATGGCTACTTTCTTCTTCTTCTTCTTTTTCTTCCTCTTCTTGTGTTTCTGTTTTTCTTGTTTTGCGTTTGAGTTACGTAGAAGAGTGAATATACAATAAATATCCTAATGTTTGACGGAGAATACAATTGTTGTAGGACAAAAACGTGTAAAACACAGGTGTCTGAACCTTACCAATTACTTTGGATGCAAACTAAGGAATCCCCATCAATCATTTTATAGATATTCATTCTAGAGTATTGCTAGCTTCATCAAATTTTGGGACCAAAATAAAAATTTAAATAATATGACACTTGATTATTTAGAATTGTTATTGAGACCCAAATAATATAGCACCACATAAAGAAGCCCAAGTTAATTACTATGTTATTTAAACTCTTAATTTGATCAATATAATATTACTGTTCATTTTATATAGGAGGTGGTCACCAACATGGCTCATGGTATTCCGCCCTCATTATTGAACATTCTACCCAAGTAAGGCCCGACAAGAGATCCACGGGCCATGGGTTTGTCCAAAAGTCCGGTTTCTTGTTGGGCAAAAAGATTAAAATACAACTTATTTTCAAATACATTTAAGTTATAGACTCAGAAGTTTTTTAGAGAGGATTTAACCCAATTTTTACTAAAAACAATAGGTTAGTCTGTCCTTACTGCAAAGTAGCATGCCAAGAAAGCCAGTGACGCTACCCATCGGCCTACCAAAATTTATTATTTCAACAGATGTTTTTATAATTTTTGTAGTTTATTTTAAAATTAAAACATTTAGCACATTTGTGAATGATTTATCATTTTTGTGGGTATTTTTATCACTATTATGGTAACTATTTTTATTATTTTTCTTTGGTACAAAAAAATTATTATTTTTATAAGTGATTGACCACATTTGTGGGTATTTGTATCATTATTGTAACTATTTTTACTTCTTTTCTTCGATACTATAATGAAATATAGTAAATGTTGATTTTTATTTTTTCCGTATACAACTTCATTCACTTATATCACTCGGTAATCAAATAAATCAATAACTCAACATTTTCATCATTTTCCTGATGGTTGAGACATATAGATGTAGATTGCCTCGATAAATACCTCAACTGTTGGTCCATCACTTTCAAACGTCATCAACTACATCAAATTATTGGTCAATAACTAATATAATTCAGCACCATTTGATTGGAGTTCACTAATTATATTCAAAAACCATGTGCTATTATTTTATTTGACCACTGAAAAATCAACTTCAAGGGAGAACCCCCTCTCTCTCTACATAAATCTCTCTACAGTTACCTAGTTACCTCAGGTTTATCTATCGATTAGTTAGGGTCTTATGACGCTGTCTATAGAGAGAAGCCCCCTCAGATTCTTCAAACTACTCACTGCATCTATACATGATTATATGGGTGGAGTCTTATGCACAATGGCTCGACTACAACCAGGGTAGCCTATTGCTAGTTCAATGGACTTCACTAATTACAAGCCATAAAAGCCAATACACTCGCTTTGTAATTTGCATGGTCAATCACACCCTTTTCCTTGCCTTGCACTGACTTAATCAATTTTCACAACCAATTGTTGGAATCTAGAGAACTATCACACACTCACTTAAAAAATATAATGGAAGAGACTATTGAAAATTGTAAGAACTATTTCTATTCACTCATATCCAAATGGATGTATTACATATGATATATATAGACTCTCATGACATACAAAATAACCCCACTACATAATACAATAATAAAAATAATAAAGACTCCACTCCTCCATTACATGGAGAATTAAAATACCACAATTACTTTGTCCTCCACTAATATCAAATTGATAACCCACTAATACAAAAAACTAAATGCATAAAAATAACTCCTAAAACATGAAAAGTCATGTTTTATATTATTTTTCCAACACCCCCCTTAAACATGATTTTTCTTCTCAACTCCAAGCAAACTTCTCAATTTGCAAAAGACATCATCTTTGAGGGGCTTCCTGAAAATATTGACAATTTAATCTTGAGTCTTCACAAATTTGAGTTCCACCTCTTTCTTGGTCACATACTCTCTAATGAAATGAAACCTTGTGTCAATATGCTTACTACGATCATGAAACACCGGATTCTTTGCCAAGCTAGTTCTGATTTGTTGTCAATGAAGATCTCTGTCGATTTTTCTTTAGGCTAATGAAGCTCCTTCAACAAATTTCTATGCCAAATGGCTTGGCAAATACATGATTTAGCCGCCACATACTCGGGTTCACAAGTTGAAAGAGTCACAATGTGTTGCTTCTTTGAACTCCAGGCAAATGCGGTATCTCCCATGAAGAAAATATATCTGATTGTACTTTTTCTATCATCCATATCTCCAGCCCAATCACTATCACAATAACCCGAAAGCTTGAAATTGTTAGAACAAGAATATAGCAATCCATAATCAAGTGTACCTTTGATGTATCTAATAATTCTTTTCGCCGCCTTCAAATGGGTCATGGTAGGAGCTTCCATATAGCGACTTACAAAACCAACACCAAAAAGAATATCCGGCCTTGTGCATGTTAAGTACCTCAAGCTTCCCACTAGGCTCTTGAAATGGGTAGGATCCACATGCTCTCCATCTTCATATTTTGACAATTTTACACCTCATTCAACTGGTGTATATACCGGTTTACAATCTTGCATCTTGAATTTTGCCAAAATTGTTTTAGCATAACCGTTTTGAGAGATAAAAATATCTTCTTTCATTTGCTTCACTTCAATGCCAAGGTAGTATGACATAAGCCCAATGTCGGTCATCTCAAATTCTTTAGCCATTGCTCTCTTGAAATCTTCAAACATTCTTGGACAATTTTCTGTGAAGATCAAATCATTCACATACAAACAAGCATAGAGTATATCACCATTATCATTCACCTTTGCATAAAGAGCATGTTCATGGGGTCATTTGATGAAATTATTTGCTTGAAAGTATTTGTCAAGTCTACTATTCCAAGCCCTTGGTGCTTGCTTCAAACCATACAAAACCTTTTTTACTTTCAAGACTTCCTTTTTTAATTTCAAGACTTTATCTCCTTACCCTTTCACAACATAACCCTATGGTTGTTCAACATACACCTCTTCATGAAGAAAATCATTCAAAAAAGTGGACTTCACATCCATTTGATGAATTTTTCATTCATTTAGAGCGGCTAAAGAAATAATCATTCTAATTGTTTCCAAACGAGCAACGGGTGCAAATACCTCATCATAGTCAATACCCGGTCTTTGACTATAGTTTTTTGCAACCAACCTTGTTTTATACCTCTCTACTTCACCTATGAATTTTTCTTTATTTTGTACACCCACTTTACTCCAATGGTCTTTTGTCCTCTAGGGAGTGTGGCAAGCTCCCATATTCCATTTATTTCAATAGCATCAATTTCTTCATTCATGGCACTCCTCCACTTCTTGTCTTGTGCCGCTTTCTCATAGCCCATGGGATCACAATCGACAAATAGACAAAATTGTGTTAGATTACTAAATCCTTGAATTACCTCTTCGATTTCTTCATAGATATCTCGAAAACTCCTCATGCGAGGTGACCTTTCATTTGAACTTGCTTCAGATGATGATGGAGATGTTTGCACATTGGTTGATGATGGTGGTGATGGTGGAGGAGAATAAATGGGCAGCTCCATGATCTTATTATTGGGCTCTTCCTCTTCTTCAAAAAATGGGAAAAAAAGTCATAGTTTTTTGTGGAGTGTTCCAATTCCATTCATCTTTTTCATCAAATTTAACATCTCTATTAATGAGTTTCTTGTCATTACTTGGGTTATAAAACTTGTAACTTTTGCTTCTTGAATCATAGCCAATGAAGAAAAACTTTTAACTCTTTTCATCTAGTTTGGTCCGTTTCTCATCTGGCACATGTTCATAGCATACACTTCCAAAGACCCGCAAATGAGAAACATTTGGCTTGATTCTTCCCCATGCTTTTTTAGGTGTTTTGTCTTGAACACTTCTAGTGGGACACCGATTTAACAAGTAGATGACACAATCAATAGATTCCGCCCAAAACTCCTTTGGCATTTTTTTACTCTTCAACATACTCCGAGCCATGTCAAGAATGGTTTGGTTCTTTCTTTCGGTAACACCATTTTGTTGTGGTGATCTTAGAACCGTTAGATGATGGTGAATTCTATTTTTTTCAAAAAATTTTTTTAATTCATTTGATGTGAATTCACCTCCTCTATCAGATCTAATTGCCTTAACCTCATACCCACTTTGTTTTTCAATCAATGCCTTAAAATTTTTAAAAACACCAAATACATCTGATTTTTGTTTTAGAAAATAAACCCACGTTTTTCGGCTAAAATCATTAATAAAGATAAGAAAATACCAGTTCTTGCCAAATGATGGTGGGTCTATAGGGCCGCAAACATCCAAGTGAACAAGTTGAAGTGGTTTGGTTGCTCTTGAAATGGATTTTTTGGAAAAACTCTTTCTAGTTTGCTTTCCAATTAAGCATCCCTCCCAAAGTTGATCTGGATGGTTGATAGAAAGCAATCCGTTCATTATCTTCTTTCTAGATAACAAGGTTGGTCCTCCAAAATTTAAGTGCCCAAATCTCAAGTGCCATAACCAAGAAGAATCTTTAACACATGCTTTTAAGCATTTTGCCACATTACTTTGAATATTTAATAAAAACATTCTATTTCTTGTCATTGGCACTTTAGCAACCAAATTCCTGTTTCCATCTCTTATTAAAAGATTATGATTTTTCATGCAAATATCATAACCTTTCTCTAAGAGTTGTTCCAAGCTCAAAATATTATTTTTCATGTTTGGAACATAAAAAATATTAGAAATAACTTGGTGCTTTCCATCTTTCAAACGAATCAAAATATTACCTCTTCCCATTACTAGAATTTGAGAAGAATCTCCAAAAGTGACTTTTTCACTCACTGATTTATCAAACTCCGCAAACATCTCTTTATTTTCACACATATGATTACTAGCACTGGAGTCAAGGTACCACACGCTCTTGTCTCCTTTTTGCTCTTCTTTGTATGCCAACAACAAGGTCGACTTTACCTCTTCAACTTTGTCTTCAACAAAGTGTGCTCTTTCTTCTACAGAATCATTTCTACACTCGGAAACAAAATGGTCATATCAATGACAATTATAACATTGAATATAAGATTTTTCATACCTCCCTTCATATGACTTTGAATTGTTGCCTCTTCCACGTTCTCTTCCACGATGTGATTCTTGACCTCTTTCTTCTTTGTTGCACACATTTTTAGCCAAAGTTTTCTCATCTACCTCGACCACGTCCACCACGACCTCTACCTCCACGTCCACGCCCTTTACTTCTTTGACTTCCATTTTGCCTTCTTTCTATTTCTTTGAAAGAAAGCTTGGTTTGTAGTACTTGCTCCAACAGCTCTTACTTCTTCTTGCCTAGCCGTTCTTCATGGGCTAAGAATGATCCCATGAGTTTGTCAATCATCATTATGTCTAAATCTTTAGACTCTTCAATGGCTACGACAATGTAGTCAAACTTGGGGTCCAATGAACGGAAGATTTTTTCTATCACCCGGATATCATCATAATGATCATCACCATAAGTTCTTAAATTATTCACAACCACCAAGATTCTTGTGAAATAATATGAAATTAATTCGGATTCCTTCATGTGTAAAGCCTCAAATTCACCTCGTAAAGTTTGGAGGTGAACTTTATTAACTTTTTCCACTCCACTATGAGCAGTTTTCAGAACATCACATGTTTGCTTGAATGTGGTTGCACTAACAACCTTCTGTAGCATAGTATCATCCAAACATTGATGAATAAGTGAAAGAGCCTTTTGATCCTTATTCTTTGTAGCTTGTAAGACTTCCTTATGGGCTTGACCTAAGGAAGCTTCATCTTGTGGTGCTGTGTAATCAATTGTTACAATCTCCCATAAATCTTGAGATCCAAGAATTGTCTTCATGCAAATACACCAATTCTCATAGTTGTCTTTGGTGAACTGAGGCATTTGAAATGGAAGCATTCCATTCACCATCTCCCTCTCACTCTCTCTTTTCAACACTCAAGCCTAGCTCTGATACCACTTTGTTCGAATCTAGAGAACTATCCACACTCACTTAAAAAATATAATGTAAGAGACTATTGAAGATTGTAAGAACTCTTTCTATTCACTCATATCCAAATAGATGTATTACATAGGATATATATACTCTCATGACATGCAAAATAACCCCACTACATAATGCAATAATGAAAATAATAAAAACTTCATTCCTCTATTACTTGGAAAATTAAAATGTCACAATTACTTTGTCCCTCACTAATATCAAATTGATGACCCACTAATACAAAAAAAAATGCATAAAAATAACTCCTAAAACATGAAAAGTTATGTTTAATATTATTTTTCCAACACCAATTCCTCTTGTTTTTAGCCATTGAGGAAGAATTAAGAGCATGTTTGAATTGCATCTCAAAAAACAGTATTTGAAAATAATTTAAGGGAAGAGTTTTTAAAAAATTTTATTTTACAAAACCTGTTTGATTATATATTTTTTAAAATAATTTTAAATAACAAAAAATAGTAAAACTTGTTTGGACAATAATCTTCAAAACTCCCACCCCAATTTTAATCTTATTACTCTTACTCCTCTCTCCATCCCCCCCCTCTCTCTCTCTCTCATTCTCATACAACAAACACACATCAAGCACGTATTCACACACACAACAAATACACACACTCACGTAGCAAACACACACACTCACATAGCAAACACGCATTGCACATAGAAAACCCACACACATTAGAGAGAGAGAGAGAGAAGGAGAGTTGTGAAAGAGAGAAAAAAAGAGGGGGCTGCTAAACTGAGCTGCGAGAGAGAAGCTGAAAATGCCTTCAACAAAACTCAAAGTCGAGACCTCATTAAAGAGAAAAATTGATGTTTTTCCTATTTTTATTTTGGCTTAGAAAATTAAGAGAGCATAATTTTGTTATTCTCAAAAAACATTGTTTAGTTTCCAATTTATTCTAAAAATTGGAGAACAAAAACCTGACCAAACAAGTTTTTTCTTATTTTTAGAAATTTGAGAACATAAAACTGTTTTACAAACACAATTCAAACACCCCCTAATTTTCCCAACTCAATTCTCAAACCTGGCTAGCTATATTAAGCCACTTTTTTAGGAATGTTGAGGATATTGTTGGGCCCTTTTGTGAATATATTTGCATCAAGCATCGGAACATAATCCACTTCCTCTATAATTCGCACCAGTATCATCATCCTATTAGTTAACTTTGTGCTGAAATAATCAATCTCCACAAACCAATACTCTTCCTTTTCCCACAATAAGAGATTAAGTGTACCAACAATTTGTTACTTCCACCACCCTCCTTCTGCCCTAGGCTAGGTGTTTCCAAAGTCATACAAGTGATATTAACCTTGAGTTTGATTTTTGTAACCTCTAGAAATTGTGGCAAAAATAGTTCATTTGTGGTTTATGGAGACACACTTGCAAAAGTTGTAAGAGCAGCATACCAACAATGACCATTTAGAATTTGAGATGAAACAATTTATTCTTGATGAAGTTGTTCAAGTATTGTCTAAGAAACATTGATAACATGAAACATTGAACATTTGTCATACTTTTTGCAAAAAATGCCTAGTTGAAAGCTATAACATCTTAATTTCTTTAGGCCAAAATTAAGATGCTGGGGTGGATTATTAAATTTTTAGAAGATTAATAAGCGAGTTGAAAGCCTTTAGACTCTTATATAATGCAAGAAATTGATTATTTGAAAGACCTTTGGCAGTTATTTCTTATGATGGAATTGTACAACAATTTGAGGACAACCTTTACCTCCCCTATCTTGAACATAATTAATCACATCTTTGTCAAAACATGGAAAGCTTCTAAACCATCATCAATCCCAATCCAATCAAAGCCTGTATCTTAATATATCCATCTTACCTTCATTACTTCCCTAATTTCACCTACATTTTCCCATTTCCCAGCCTCTCCTAAAGCATTGGATAAAGCAACATATGCCCCTGGCCTACTATCACTACTTAATTTCAAAAGTTCATTGACAGTTATACTTGCAATCTCTAAATTTCCATGAAGTCTACATGAACTTATTAGAGCCGCCCAAACATCAGAATTTGGTTTTTTAGGCATTTTCATTATGATATCCAATCCTGACTGGCCCAAGAGATCAACCATGCAAGGATAATGCTCCATCCTTGGTTTTATTGAATAATCTCTCTCCATCCTCTTAAAGATTTTCTCCCTCTAGCAATTAACCCCGCATGCGTACATGCAGAAAGAACACTAAGGAATGTTACATAATTGGGCTTGATGTGACAATATCCTTGCATTCTTCTGAACAGCTCAAGTGCAGCAATTGGATTTCCATTCTTCCCATATCCATCAATCATGGACGTCCATGAAAAGACATTCCTTTCAGTCATGTGGTCAAAAACTCTTCTAGCTTCCTCAATTCTCCTACATTTTGAGTACATATCTATTAGAGCACTTCCCATTTTTACGTCACCAAAAAATTCCGTCTTCATAAGTTGTCCTTGAATTTGTTGACCAATTTCAAATGCTAATAATATAGAGCAAGCCCCAGTGATGCTTGCAAAATTTGATAACATAAGACTAAAATCCAACCGTTGCATGTCAATATAAACTTCAGGTGCCCTCTTAGCAATGTTAATAGATTTGTTATAACCTTCAATCATTGCATTAAAAACCACCACGTCTTTCTCAACCGTTTTCCTAAATACATCCTTAGCATCTTCAACACTACCTTGTTTCATGTACCCTGTGATCATTGATGTAGAACAAACACATTCTTTTCCAACATCATATCAAACACTCCCCTCACATAATTAACCTTGTCGCTCTTGACATATGATTCAACTAGTGTAGTACAAAGAACAACATCAGCCTCAACATCAAGTTTCATTACCTAGGCATGAACTTCCTTCCCCATGCCACGCGACAACAAGCACACATTTTCACCAGTATAAGCTTTCAAAATCATCGAAAAAGTATACCTTGGAAATAATTTCACTCAAAGAGTAACCATCTCGTACGAAGAAAATGGTTGTAAGGAAGTCTTGAGTAACCTGCATGATAAGAGAACACCTAGGTGAACCGATGGTTAGAGTCGGCCAAAAGGACTTCGATGCTTAGTCAGATTGCCAGTCAAAGAAGAATATGAAGTGAATAGGCAAGGATCAAGTGCCTTACCTAGTATCGAAGCCTTTATTTATAGTGGTAGGAAGTTGAATCCTAAAGGACCTCAAACTCTAGATTATGATAAGATAGACCTCATCATAAACCCCCTAGACTTCGAGTTAAAATTGTACTAGGACGTCGGGTCCTAGGTTGTAGGATGAAATGTGTCTACTAGGAGGCATTGTTGATCTTATCAATAGTTTCTTGATACTCGGAGTAAGTTTTGCAAGGACTCTAGGTCCCGAGTTAATCCTTAGCCAACTAGGATTTGTTCATGGCTGCCTCTTTGGCTTACCCACTTGTGACCCCCACTACTCGAGAGCTTGTACCTACTGGTCGGCGCTTATGCCAGTCGTCACTAGCAAAAGGTGTGTTGTTTGTTTAGTCTTAGTGAGCTGCCTTCTTGGTCTCGGTGAGTTACTAGGAGAAGGACCTTGCTTGTGCCTGCAGATCGATAATTCCACCGATTGACACTAGCAAAAAGGAGGGTTACCTTTTTCTTCCCTTGGTTGAACTTGAAGAAGAATGGTCTTGCTATTGTTGGTTGGTACTCATTCCTATCAACAGTAACAAAGAAGCAACGGGCTCCCACAATTTCCCCTATACCTCATGTAATGAATGGAATTAATTGAGGTATGTTTTAAGGATTTAGTTTTTTTGGCCCTTTACTACCTAAAGGATTAGGGCATTAAGTTTCTTTTCTCTTTTCCTCTTTACTCACTTCCCTTTTGTGTTCCTTCACTTAGTTAATAGGTTGGAGCTTGGCTGATAAAAGGAAAAGAGAAGCATTCATTGTTGATTGTACAAGGAACTAACTTACTTTGCTCATGAGCTAGTTGAGCAATAAGAGTTGCTCAAGAGTTATGCAAAAAATGATGGGTCTTATCGAGTTTGGGAGAACGTTTAATAGCCTAAGAATGACTTCCTAATTCTTGAGATCATGAATAAGTTCCTTAGTGGATGTGGTCTTACTCTTCTAACACCTATGCCTCCTGTTCTAACTGAAAGGAGAGGATCGCCACGAGCTGTGGTGTCTAATTCTCGGAGGTGGCAAATTCCTTAAGAAAGGCTAAATAGCCCATTGAGCAATTATAGAAGTTGCTGGTCATCCGTCGAAGGTTGACCAACTTAGAGGGCAACTTTAGAGGGTACATGGAGGTGAAGTAGTCTTGAAGGGCAACCTTAGAGGTCACATGGACGCTAAGTATACTAGAGAGGCAACCTTAGAGGTCGCATGGAGGCAAAGTAGCCTTGAGAGGCAACCTTGGAGGTCGGCTTAAGGTACAACCATGGAGGTTGGCTTGACGTGCAACCATAGAGATTAGCTTGAGATGCAATCACGGAAGTTGACTTGAGGTACAACCATAGAGGTTGACTTGATGTGCAACCAAGGAGGTTGGCTTAAGGTGCAACCACATAGATCTGCTTGAGGTAAAACCGCAGAGGTTGGCTTGAAGTACAACCATGGAGGTCGGATGAATGTGGAACCATAGAGGTTGGCTTGAGGTGCAACCAACAAGGTTGGCTTTAAGTGCAACCGTAGAGGTTGTCTGTAGGTGTAACCATAGAGGTTGGCTTGAGGTGCAACCACGTAAGTTGGCTTAAAGTGCAACCACAAAGATTGACTTGAGGCAAGGGAGCCTTGAGGTACAACCATGAAATATGGCTTGAGGTGAAGGAATGTTGAGGTGCAACCACAAAGATCGACTTGAGCTAAAACCGAAGAGGTTGGCTTGAGGTGCAACCACGGAGGCTGCAATAATCACAAATAGACGAACATTTAGAGTTATGAAAAACAAACTTCTCTTTACTAATCAACGAAAATGAGAAACAAATGTACTTGAAGACTTATTGAAATAATAAGACACTTTTGACTAAGCTAAAAGTAAAACTTAGTTATCTAGTTAGTAATCTGATTGGATTTGTTGCTCTTCCTGCTCCTTGATAGTCTTTTACTTGTCAATGTATCGAGAGAGGTGGCCTTGTTTGACCAACTCTTCTAGGTGGCGCTTGGGTGCCAAGCAATTCTCCTTCCGGTGTCATTTGTCCTTGTGATAAGAATAGTTGAGGTTTTAGTCCCATTTTGATGGATCTCCTATCATCTTTGATAGCCACCTAAAATACTCTTTGTCTTTGATTTGGTTAAGGACTTGATAGATAATCTCCTTGAAGACAGTGTTGGTGTCTTGGTAGGAGTCCCTCGTTCCCTTGAATGACCCATCTCTCCTTAATGGGTTGGGAGTGTTGTCTTCCTCCATCTGATTCTTCTTTGAAAACCGATCAACTAGTCTGTTGTTATCCTCCACATTCACAGTTCTATTGATATTCTCCTACAAGTGTGACATACTCTAGGTCAACCACATGGGGAGGTGCTTCCTCAATTTGCTTTCCTTGGGGAGGCATAAATGGAAAGAAACATCAAGGTCTTCTTATCGTATTTTTCTATATTGGTATAGGTTTCTAAGTAACTCATGGCATACTCATGGAGAGACTCTCCACGTTTCTGGCATAGAATCAAGAGTATGTTAATGGTCATTGGCTATGAATCGAGAGATGAACTCTTTGGCAAGTTGTTCCCAAGAGAAGATTAAGCTCACGGGCATCCCATGAAACCACTTAAGAGCTGACCTCCCTAGTATAGGGGTTTGGCTTCTTGAATGGGCCGAACAAAAAGAGTTGTGGTCATCTTAAGCAAGGACTGCCTTGCCCTTTCTTTGATCGAATATACGAGATCATCTTCGTCAATGTCACGATGAAGATGGTCGTGACCTTCATAGGCTGGCTCAAAATGGGCACACTTCTGTCTTCCATAATCGTCATACCACTCATCTAGTCTAGAGTGATAGGTTGAACTTCTGTCTTTCTCTATGTTCCTTAGGGTGGCGTTCCCTGTATGGAATGCCTCCCTTCTCTTCGTAATGAGGGAGTACCTTCTGGGTGAAGGGTCCTTAGGAAAACGTTGAGAAGTTGTCTCGATGAGTACCTTCTTTGACAGTGACCATGGGTCGAATAACTTCATACCAGAGACCTACTCCTATGACAAGTAGATTGAGCCTCATGTGAGTAATCGTTGTGGTGGTCACTTTGATAACACAGACGTATGACTTGACTAGAAAGTTTGTTCCCTCTTTGGAGAATGAGCCCTTGCTGGAGGGCTTTTAGCTCCTCCATTTTCTTCTTTATTGCCTCATGGTAATCCATCAAGGTAGCTAACCCACCTTCTCCACTAAGGGCAAGTAGGTTGTTGTGAGGAGGTTTTTCACTAGAGTGTTCTTGTCTATCATAGGGTCCTTTTATAATTGGAGGTCATAATTAGTTGGATCTTTGAGGACTAGGGGTAGTAGAAGTGTTGTGTGGCTGGTACCTGAATCAATAACTCTCTTGCCAGACATAGTTCAAGGCTTCTTAGTTGAAAGAAAACTTAGTCATTTTCCCACAGACAATGTCAATTGTGTGAAAATAATTAACCACCTCGTACGGAGGAGATGACTATGAAGAAGCCTTGAATACCTTGTAAGACAAGAGAACACCTATGTGAACTGATGGCTAGAGGTGGCCAAAGAGACTCAGATGCTTAAGTCAGATTACAAGTCGAAGAAGAGTATGAGGTCAATAGGCTAGAATCAAATGTCTTACCCCGTACCTAAGACCTTTATTTATAGTAGTAGGAAGTTGAATCCTAAAGGACCTCAAACTCTAGGTTAGATAGGATAGCTCTCATCACCAACTCCCTAGATATTTGAGGTAAAATCGTACTAGAATATCGGATCCTAGGTTGTAGGACAGGATGTGCCTACCTGGAGGAGCTGTTGATCTTATAAATAATTCCTTGATACTCAGAGTAAAGTTTTACTAGGACTTTAGGTCCAAGGTTAATCCTTAGTTGAATAGGAAAGTAGAGGTTCTGATTGTGGGTAGCTTGCCATTTTTCATCTTCCCATTTGGTATGTTCTTGTAGTCTATAATGGTGTCCCAATTGACCCAAAGCAAGTCAGATGAATCAAAAAACACAAATTGTATAAGATATCTATATAATAAAATAGAAAATTTTCAAACCCCAAACTTATAAAATGATTCTAATGCCTTAAATCATTTCAAGATTGTAAATTTTGATTGATCCTTAATTTATTTTTCCTACCCAAGAATTAGACTAAGAATTTCGTTCCATTTTCAACACTAGAATCTCATCTTTCTTCTACCTTTCCTCCCTCTGACACACTAGAGTCCCAAACAGACACTCAACTCACACGCACAAACACGCTCATCTCATAGAAACCCCCCCCCCCCAAAACCCCCCCATTTTTTTATCCCCTTTATTTTTTTCTCCCCCCCCCCCTCCTCAT